CCCCCCCACACCCCCCCACCCCCACACACACACACACACACACACACACACACACACACACACACACACGTAACAGTGAAGATTTTAGAGCAGCATCTACACACACACACTGCTGAAACCCTCTGATGGCTGCGGAACTTCGATGGCGGCCCCCCCACTCACTTGCGCGACCCCACATGGGGTCGCGACCCACAAATTAAGAAGGTCTGGTCTAGTTTACGGAGAAGGCTGAGACCCACAACAATCAAGAAAAGTTAACGATGGGTATAAACAAAAGTGCAAAAGCTACTCACGGATCAAATACTTCCCAATCTTCTTCATAGGCTGCTTCAGCATGGGCAGAGGAGTAACCACTATCTGGAGATACTGGAGCTGAACAGAAAGAGATACAGCATTGATTCTCTCATCAAGACTAAATGGTACAAATTGATTTTTTACAGATCATTATCAATGTCTTCAGCAATTTTCACATGTAGTTATAAAAGAACCCCTACCTGTTCATTTTGTTGGTTTATGCTAGGTTTAAAATAGTCAAGAGCTACCCTGCACCTCTTAGGGTTAGTTTTAGGTTTGGGCAAGGATTACTAGATCTGGGGAAAACATTCCAGGCCAAGTCAAAAGAATTGCTTTACATTTCCATTGTTTGTTAATTTCTTCTCTTTAAGAACACAAAATTAAAAACCATCAAACTTAAACATATAACTAGAAAAAGTCATCATCTTTGTTATTAAAACACAACTTAAAGTTCATCTAGCTATAAATAAACCCCGCCCCCAAACACAATAAAGAAACGTGTCATAAGAGAAAAAAAAAAAAGGATTTTTGTACTCACCGTAAAATCCTTTTTTCTCTGTTCATTGAAGAACCCAGGGCAACAGATCGTAGATCCTGAATGGTAGGGACGTCACCAAGCAGTAACACACTGAGGGATGGGCAACAACAAACAAAACACCCAAAAGACCCCTCAAAGCACCGCCTGCAACACTTTGCGCCCCAAATCAGCATCCGCCGATGCTAACACGTTCACCTTGTAAAACTTAACAAAAAGGTGTGAACAGAAGACCAAGTAGCGGCCTTACAAACCTGAGAAACCGAGGCCCCATGACGAAAGGCCCAGGAAGCCCACACAGCCCTAGTAGAATGGGCAGTGACAGGGAAAGGAGGCTCACGCCCCTTAACGGCGTACGCCTGAATAACCACATTGCGAATCCACCTAGATATGGTAGCCGCCGACACGGCCCGACCCTTACGAGGGCCCTCCGTGAGCACGAACAAGGAGTCCTTCGCACGAAAAGAAGCCGTAGCTTCCAAATAGACACGAAGAGCGCGAACCACATCCAAACAGTGGACCGTACGTTCCTTCCTATGAACCGGCTTCGGGCACAGGGAAGGTAAGACAATGTCCTCATTCAGATGGAATGCCGACACAACCTTAGGCCGGACTACCGAGGGCCATCCGTGAGCACGAACAAGGAGTCCTTCGCACGAAAAGAAGCCGTAGCTTCCAAATAGACACGAAGAGCGCGAACCACATCCAAACAGTGGACCGTACGTTCCTTCCTATGAACCGGCTTCGGGCACAGGGAAGGTAAGACAATGTCCTCATTCAGATGGAATGCCGACACAACCTTAGGCCGGCCTAGGACGGAGAACCGCCAAGGCAGCCAATTCCGACACCCGCCGCACGGAAGTGATGGCCACCAAAAAGGCCACCTTCTGCGACAAGGACAAAAGCAAAAAGTCAAATGGAAGAGAGGAAAAAAATTCTCCAGAGAAAATTTTTTAGCTCCTTACTCCTGACGCTAGGCAAAAAACTGGAGACTTGTCAGCAAGTATGGGGTTGGGCCACCAGCAGGGGCCGCCCCTAGGCTGTCTTGTCTTTTAGTTATGTGCCTAGCGTCCTACTCCTGCAGATAGCGATATACCCTACCATTCAGGATCTACGATCTGTTGCCCTGTGTCCTTCAATGAATGGGAGAGAAATACTTGGGCAATTTTCTGCTAGTTGTCTGACCCAATCAGCTTCTACAGTTTTTGAGCCAATGACTCAATGTAAAAATGCAGATCTGGGAAGCCAATGTCCTTATCTGCATATTTACACTGATCAGTGACTCAGGTAGGGAAGCAATGGGCCATCCTGACAAGCAGGCAACAATAATTTTCAGAAGAGGCTGGGGAATGGCTGCCTCTGTTTCTCTTATATCAATGACTTCTGTTTAAACAGAGAAGCTGCAAACAGGCAGAAATAAAGTAGAATACCAGGTAAATGGGTAAAAAACATATTTGACCGTCAAAATTCTTTGGTGGTGGCACATATCGCCGCAATGCAGAAAAGATCAAGAGACTTTAACACCGCCCACAGCCATGAGCTGGTTTTAAACGGTTGACTGCCATGATAAGTGGGACATGTCCTAGGCTGTCAATGGATCCAAGGGGTTAAAAACAGTTTTATACGTTTACAAACTTTTTATTGAAATTTTAACAAATCTAACAAGTGACGAAAAAAGCTTCACTGATAGCGATCAAATCGGAGATCATGTCACACAGGTAATAAACATACATAAAAATATAACATCACAACCAAAGAACATATGGCGTTATTCATTAGGGAGATACAGTGCAAGAGCTAGATCAATGTGCAAAGGATAAGCATCTAGCAGCAACCGGATATAAACATATGTTCATAACGCCTTGACTACGCAACTCAGGCATATCAAGGGAGGAGGCAGATGAAGAGGTGCAACAGCGAAACAATACTAGAAATAGAGAAAATGAAAGAGGAAATAGGAAGTAGCGCCGGGACTTGGCAACGCTATAAAATAACTCTCAAGGATCCAAATGTGTCAAATGGCCGTCAAGCTCTCCTGGGGCAAAGTGGGATGAGCGGATTGAATCCAAGGATCCCAGATTCTCATGAATCGTTTCCACATGTCCAAGAGAAAAAAAGGTTTTCAAAACATCTTTGCCATTTTAATTTGATAGCAGGAAAGTACCATTCACCTGTTAGTATTGGGATGTCTCGCTCTGGGGTGTCCTCCCCTGACTCGAGCCAGCTACTGGCAGTTGTACGGACAGGCGTCCCCTGATTGGTGTAGGATGTTCCATTAGTGGAGGTGGTGGTGCTGGTGCTGATTTCATCTACCTGCTCCATTTCCAGCTGTTTCACTATCTCCTCGGCTTCTACCGCTTGTCCAGGAGAGTCTGATCCCGACGTGCCTACAGCAAAGGAAAATCAGTTAGTTCTTACTGGTAACGGACTATGCAGCATGGCAACTGGAGACAAGGCGATTTCTACCTGAAACAGGAAAGCCAAAAGGGACATAAAAAATCCTTTACAGGTGGCAACACTCAAGACTGTAGGATAGAATGTTCCTCAAATTATTTTGTTTCCTGTAAATGTAACAAAAATAGGGTGGACACCTCTTCTGGAAGCATCTTCTGTCCTGGAAGTTTCCTAGACACCTTAACTAGTCCTGCTAAAATTCACTGGACCACAGCTCACAATGACTGTATAAAACAAACAGCCATTCAACAGACCAATGCCAACTTATTTTTCTTTTCTTTCCCAGTCTTCTGACAGTGGCCATTTTAACTAAGGACCGGTTACTAGATCTTCCTTTACTTCCTGTAACACGTGACTTGAACATGTGACCATGCACATAATCGAAGGGGAGGAAAATGCCTTTTCCTGAGATCTCATGGGATTACAGATGAGATTTCCCAGCAATGCTCTGCTAATGTAAGCTTCCCAGGATGCAACACTTGGGCACGGATACATTATTTGTGACAAAGTGGCAGAAAAAGAAATTATATCACAAAGGACACAGCAAACATTAAAGAAGGTGCTTGGACCTGTAGACCAAACATTTTATTTTTTATGACTGTGCTTGCAGAGCTCAAGGTTTCAACTCCAAAAACAGGCAACAAAGGTAGTTTGGTAAATCTAAAAGGAGAATGTATAATGAAATAATGAAAAAGTAAAATGTGTAACATGATTTCTCTGAAAAGATAGGTAGGCCCTTTACTACCTCTAGAAAGGAGACTGGCATACAAATGCCCTGGGTTGGCAGCAATCGATTCCCAGGGGTTGAATGACATCCTTGAACCCAGATATCTGACCACCAGCTAACTGCGCTAGAAAAAAAACAGGGCAACACAAGTTGGCCAAAATATTGGAAAGGAGATTTAAGCCACAATCTGGTAGAGGAGAAAGAAGTGAATTGCTCCCCACATGCAATTCACTGTGTTAGTTGCTGTTTACATACTAAAAGTATATTACTGTACACTGTCAAGCAGGTAAAATAATAAAAGAAAGCCATGCTGCAGCTTGATGCTGTTAAGATGAAGATAACTAACTCTGAGGGCAGCCACCTGTTGGAAGGTTTCTTTTTTAAATATGTGCTTGTGAATTCAGTCAGGTCCAACTGCTTGCTATCCTGGAAGATAATCAGGGAAAATATTGTACAAAAGATAGTTAAGACCAACAAGATTGCTAGTTTTGGCCCGAGAACTGTATCAGTACTACATAAATGGAGGTGGAAAAAAAACAACAAATGCTTTTATTTTTAGCCTGTTGGCAACATACCATTTTTATTTGCTGGTGAGAAAAAGTTGAAGACGGGAGAGAAAATGGTCCCCAGCAGTGTGGTCCTGGGTGGGCTGCCTACTGGAGGCACATCTTCCAGCTTTCCATTCTGTTTCACATGTTGAGATGTCGTCAGCTCATAACTTGCTGCTTCTAAAGGATGGTGAAATATACCAGGTGAAACTCGATTAGAATATCGTGCAAAGTTGATTTATTTCACTAATGCAACTTAAAAGGTGAAACTAATATACGAGATAGACTCATTACATGCAAAGCAAGATAGTTCAAGCCGTGATTTGTCATAATTGTGATGATTATGGCTTACAGCTCATGAAAACCCCAAGAACCCCAAATCCACAACCTCAAAAAAGTAGATTATTACAAGCAATCAATAAAACAAGGATTGTACATAGAACAATATCGGACCTCTGAAAAGTACAAGCATGCATATGTACTCAGTACTTGGTTTGGGCCCCTTTTGCAGCACTCACTGCAATTACTTTTGCACGATATTCTAATTATTCGAGTTTCACCTGTATAGGTCAGTACAAGACAAAACACAGCCAAAAGCACAAAAAAAAATATGACCAACAGAGTACATCGTAGTACAGTTATTTTTCTTACTTTTCTGACTTCTGTACCCTAAGGTGGTTTTAAGGTTGAGGTTTCCCCAATTCTTTCTACTTTAAAACAGAAGCATGTCTAAAAGTGCCCACAACCACAGGAGACCAATCTGACCACACTTCTCTTTAAAGAGGGAAGAGGTGAAGGGTTACATATAACATTATTTGGTTAGGATAAAATATGCTTTGGGTAATTTCTTCATTTTCAGGTTTGGGTATATTATTTTTTGGCTCTGAAAATAGTTTAAAACTGGAGTGATTGCATCTTAAACAACCATGCCCAAGTCACTGAACACATTTCAGTCTAAAAGGTGTCCATACACTATGCGCATTTTGCACAGTGGGTGCTGCCAAAAGATCGAAGGAAGGAGCCGGTTGGAAAATGTTCCAATCAGCTGCAAGCACTGTTCCTGTATTCTGACAGCGGCTTGCGGCTGCTGTCAGACTAGAAGGGAAATAGAGTATTCATCCATCAATGCTTGTGAGCGTTCATGGAGGAATCTGTTCTATTTTCAGTGGCCAACCTAAAGTGACACTAAACACAATTCAGAGATGATTTGAGGATCTACAGCCGTGTGATACACAAATAAGATACATTTTTATTAATAGGTAAGGTACTTAAATGCATTTTTAAGATTTAACTCCTGAGTTTAGTGCCACTTTAAGCATTCATGTTTATTTCTATGGAACGAGACGGGAACAGAGCAGTCTGTTATTCAAGTGTCTCAGGGAATAATAGGAAGCCTTTCCCGCTTGTCTGGTCAATGTTACAACCGAAAGTTGCCAGCTGCCTCACCCCATAGTAAATAGCCAAATCAAGTGACTGTCAATTTAATAGAACTCTATAGATCTAATGTCAGGGGTATGACATTAAACGCTCGATCCCCCCCATGCTGCTTTAAGTACTTACCTTATGTGATGCTCCTTGATGCGAACATAATCTTCCTTCTACTCGTTTCCAACAGTCCCTCCAACCCTGGTGCCGCTCTCTGAACCACATGTCTTCCCTTGTCCCACGGAGTCTGTCCTACGTGCATGCTCCCGGCTGCGTGCATTCACTTACACTGTGTCTCTCCTCCCCTCCAGTGATATTGAATGTGCATGCGCCCGCACGGCCGTTCGGGAAGGGGAGTTCTGCAGCTGGGAGTGAGCAGCGCAGGCACACGTATGTTATTACCTATTTTTTTAAATGTTCTGGCACATATCTAGTGCTAGCGAGCGAGCAAAAGATATATGTAAACAAAAATAATAGAGCCTTTCATTCTACTTTAAACCTGATGCAGTCATTTATCCTTACCACTGGAAGGGTATTCCCAGAAGCAATGTTTGTTCACCTTTGTAAATTCTTCCAGCAATGACCAGTCTAAGTGCCGCGGATTACAAAACAGTCCTCTGTTATTGACACATAGGAACCTTTTATGGAATTCTGCGATGGCAATAACTTTTTTTTCCTGGTACATGTTTGAGGATAACATGGATAGCAGGAGACTGGCAGAAAATAGCACTATCATTCTCTTTGGCCGAAGCTAGATATAAGACTCTTAGTTGTTCACTTACATGACTAAAACTGGCCACAGTTCATAAAGGAAGAATAGCAACGCACTGCAAAGCTATAGTACCATCCATAAAATACAAGCTATACACAAGCATGTAATTGCAATTAAAACCAAACTTTAGCCAACTCTTAGAACTTTAGATGTATGTAATCCCTAAGTTAGCATGCTGGCCAGCAGTGGAGCACATAATGTATTATTTACTATAAAGCTGCGCTTAAAGCAGTTTAGAAATCACCAACCTCCATTGACTTGACTTTTCCGTCTGACACGGGCAATGGGCTTGCTTGGTTTTTCACCAGTTCGTGGAGTTGAGGTGATGAGGTTATTATCAATGTCTCGCTCCACTCGACTTCTCTTTGCGGGATTATCACGATCTTCCTAAACAAAAAAATAATAGGAAAAAAAAAAAAAGTGTGTCATGACAATCCCATAATAGAGGGACAGGTTTATTTTCTCTTCAATCATTTTTATTAAGACAACAAAAAAAAAGACAATTTAGTGAAGGAGAAGAAAATCCCCCTCCAAACAAATTCAAAATATAAACAAACATACAATATATGCATGAAGAAAACACACATCAAAATGGGGAAAAAAAGCAATACACAGCTTAGGAAGCCTAAAGGGGGCACAAAATATCTAGGCGGCACAGGGTATAGGCTATAGAAAGGTGAACAATCAGTGCACAAGGACCGTAGAAAGTTTGAAATGTATAAACAAATCTGTAACCGGCAGTCCAGGATAAAAGGCTTCCTAAAATTCCCCACACAATACAGAACGAAAGAAGGGAGAAATAAAGAAGAAAGGCTAGAAAGGGAGGAAGATAGGGAGAAAGGAAGAGTTGTTCCGGAGGAGCAGGGAATACAAAAGCGTTCGGTAAAAAAACAAAAAAAAGACTGAGGGACAGATTTATTTTAATAAAGCCAATCTTCAGCTCTACCTCACAAAACAACATTGTCAGTAGTACCGAGAAATCAGCAATTGATGAGGCCATACTTTGCCTAGCAAGACCTGTAAAGTTATGAACACACATCAACTCGTATTCACCTTTGTTGTGCTGCCTTTGATGAAATTTTTTATGGTAGAAAGTAAACCGGTGTCAGATTTAGGCAGCTTATCTCCCAGAGATGAGCTCTCCTCCTCCTCCTCTTCCTCGGAGTGCTTCCTCTTAGTACGAGCAGTGCGCCCGGCAGGCCCGTGACTGCTGCGCGGAGACCCCTTCCGCGTCCTGAGCCTCATTTTTATAAGAGCCGCATAAAAAGCTGCAAATAGAAGAGAGTGAATCAAAAACATGAGGATACAAGAAAATCATAATACGCATAAAAATACAGAAACCGAAATATATATACACTGAGATTATTATGACCACCTGACGTTTGTAGGCAAATTAGCTATAATTTTGCGCTGAAGTTGCTAGAGGGCCAGAAAATTATAAATAGGGAAGCAGGTTGTTTACCACAACAGTAGAAGTGATTTGTTTCTGAAGATATGGGTAAACAACGCGATTTAACAGCCTTTGAACGTGGGATGATTGTTGGTGCAAGCCATGGAGCGAGTATCAGCAAAACAGCAGAATTCGTTAAATGTTCAAGAGCAGATGTTGTTAAAGTGTTTAAAGACTGGACTGTCAGCCGAAAATCTGGGTCTGAACGTGTGAATTGTGTCCGTCAGCGACTAGTCAATGTTAGGGCAGAACGGAGAGTGGCAAGACTGGTACAAGACAACAGAAGGGCAACATCAAATTACTGCAGATCTTAATCAGGGATCCACTCAAATGATCTCTGAACGCACTGTTCGCCGTACACTGCATCATATAGGATATGGAAGCTGAAGGCCTGTGCGAACACATTTGCTGTCTGCAGTTAACAAGATAAAACGTCTCCAATTCGCACAGGAACACAAGGACTGGACATTCAAGCATTGGAAAAAAAGTCATGTGGTCCGAGGAATCACGTTTCCAGTTGCATCATACAGATGGCAGAGTGAGAATTTTCATGGGAACAGCATGAAAGCATGCACCCCACATGCATGAGTACAACCCTTCAAGCTGGTGGGGGCAGTGTTATGGTTTGGGGCATGTTTTCCTGGCATGATTTGGGCCCTTTAATTCGAGTGGAATAACGTCTGAATAGCACAACATACCAAAGTATCGTTGCTGATCAAGTTCATCCTATCATGTTGATGGCGTATCCCAATGGAGAAGGGGGACTTTACCTTGCTTAGGTGGCCCCCACAATCACCGCTGTTTCTTTTGTATTCTGACAGCGGCCGCTGGAGCTTGCAGCGGATTGACTGCAAACACTGCTTGACCAAGAATTTTCCACCTGCTCCTTCGATCAGTTGATCAAGGGGTGCTGGTCGGAAAGGGTGCCGACATAAAGAACCATCCAAAACTCATACGTGTATACCCAGATTTGATGAAATCCAGTGCCTGTAGCCCCCCCAGCCAGGAGGTAGACAAGCCCCATAGACTTATATGGGGCTCTTCTATGTAGGCACGGCAGGCATACAGGAGGAGTTTGGCGCTGGATGTAAGCAATCCCCAGAAGCCACAGGTCGTGGATCTCGGAGAGTATACATCTGGGGAGGATGGGCTCTATGATTGGCTGCAAACAATGTTTGCCTAATTTTCCAACATGTTCCGTTGACAAAAAAGTCAGTCTAATGATTGTCTAGGGCAGTGGTTCTCAATCTGTGTAACCTCAGGGCCCACATTTGTCCTTGGGCATCAAGTCGTGACCCAAGACGCACTGCATTGCTGTACTGCACGATACGGTGCGGGCGATCGAACTGTGGGTGGGAGGTGCGTTTGGGGTGCCATTCAAGTGAATGGCAATGCAAGACACCTCCTGCACCAGAATGCACGGTAGGTGAGATTGTGTGGTGAGGTGCGTTAATCTCAAGGGACTGTACTAGTGTAAACTGGCCCTAAAAAAACATTGACAAACACAACCACATTCTCTCACACACATACACACGCCCCCCCAAAATTTACATTTTTGTTATTTTTTAAAGATCCATCCAGTCTCCCTATCTTACGAGAACTGGAGTGGATCCTCAGCCTGGGGTCCAGTGTGGGCTACTGTACTGTGATGGAGCTCCATCCATATGTGCATTGCTTGTACAGTTCCTTGCACACCATGTAGAGGTGCCTCACAGCCATAGCCCCATCCCATCTCAAGTGGACACACGGCACCAGGAAGCATATTTTGAATGGGTGCTTGGTGCGAGTGCTGCCGTTGGGGGAGATTGTGAAGACTTTAGCCTAGAAAAGTGGAAGGCATGCAGTGATCCACTGAACACGGGGTCCAAGGATCTAGGGGTTAGAGCCACCCATAGATCGAATATCGGCAAATTCCAGCTGAATTGGCCAAAATTCAATCTGTGTGCGCCCAGCTTACAGATTCAGCAGCATGTTCGGTCCCTCACAAACAAACACACTCAAGTGACCGCATAGAAAAATGTTTTAAAAACATCAAAGAGCTATTTACATTGTAATTTATTAAAAACTGTATGCAGGAATATCAGAGGACTGGGGACGTGACACTTGAGGTGGGTTTTGTATAGTCTTTCCATCTACTTTATTGCCTATAGTGTAATCACCAACAGAAATAACCCTACCACATGGAACACAAGAACACCACTAGGAAGGAGCACCGGACGGCGACCTACCTCCTCCCCAAAGAGGCCGCAGCCTGGGAGCCACCTCTTCTGACCCAATTCTAAGAAGCTCCAGTTTGTAAACTACATTGCGCATCTCTCCTCTAATCACAGCCACACACAACACTATAACAAGGAATATCAGAGAAGCAGCCGTTCTGTCTACACAAGAGTTACACACTGGAAAAAATTAATGGAGCAGGCTGTCCCATTACTGCAGCCATCTCTACATTCACACGGGTCGGTGACACCATGCAGCAGTGCTCAGCTTCCGTCGTGATTACCTGTTCTAACAGTACCCAGTAAAGACCGAGGGAGGGGATTTCTCAGGAATAATTCTTAGCTTCCATAGCAACATGATTCATCCAGCCCCGCTTTCAACTGATCGGCATGAGCAGCTACTCAGGTTTGATATTGCTTTTGAAAACACAATTTTTGAAGCTCCTCAAATCTAAATGATGATCAGCAGCAAAATGAACCAAATATATTTTTTAACAGGTGTAAAATATCCTGTCCAAGCAAAAGACTTCAGTGGGAAAGTCATTGTCCGTATACAAAGGATTGTGAAAAAGATGCTTGATTGTTGGTGTGGATACATGCAGGACAAGTGATCCAAATAGGTGACAACTTGTGGGAATATATTACAAACAGGAAGTTTTCAGCTAGCCCTGGTACTTTGCCTCTGGTGCCCTTGTAACCATACCTGGGCATTTGCAAAACGGTGTTGCTTATGCAGCTGCTCCGAGACCTTTTACATTGAGCAGAGGTTTCAGGTCAGTTCACATATGTGCAGTGACACACACACACACACTAAAGCTCAACTCCAGGATAACATGCCACGCATAGCATGCCATTTAAGAGCTCCCCTTTATTGGGTATCTAGTTCTCTGTGTCATGTCTATCCAGTTGCATCAGTACATGAGCCACTGATCAAGAACAAGCGTGCAATTCAGAAGTTCAGACCAAATGGGAACCCCATTTTGGAAATACTTCTCCTATGCCCAGTGGAGAAAAAGCTTTGAGCTTACCCATGCTCGGTTAGGAGTCATCAAACTATGACCAGCTCCTGTTTCTCTGCTGGCCAGCTAGATGAATGAGTGACAGCAAATGCTGCAGTCCTGCTACTTATTCATGCAACACTGATTCTTCCTCCGGTCACCCAGCATGCAATGACAGCATTCACTGCACACTATGTCAATGGGGCAGACACAAGATTGTGTCTGTCAGTATGGTATGGATTGTGTTGCATCACTGTGGCAGTGATGGTGTCTGTAGACATGTTATGGATGTATGAAAATGGTACTGCTTGGTACAGATGACAAAGAGAACCTTTTTTTCTCTATATCACCAACAGTTTGGCCCCCAAACAGTTGGAAGGATTGTAACTAAACCCTTTATTTTGGGGCACTCTGCTCCTACCCCTCTGGGCCCAGGCACCTACCGCTACATATGCTGGGATTGCCAAAAAGGACTTCCCTTTTGAGGTAACCTACAATCAGATGTGCTTTCCCATGGTGCTGGCTTCCCCGCAGTTTGTCGTATTGTCCCTACTCCTGGGTCTTGGTGACAAAGTATAATCTGAGATTGGACAGTTTACCAGCCTCCAGAACAGCAATGTCCCAGTACAGGGGGAATATGGCGGCCCAGTCACTGATGGATTGGCCGTGTGTTCATCACACTATGCACATGGAGACCCTGATGACACTGGACAAGTGAAGATTTGACTCAGTCCAACCATCCCAAGTCCTGCTGGATAACCCACAGAAATTCCAGGGCTTTCCAGCAGCCAGTCTGGGAATAAATCTACAAAGAGGGCTTTCAGGCTACTTATGAAAACTCCCTATTATTCCAGTCTCTACCAACTTGTCTTGCGCCAACCTTTTAGGTCAGTAGGCTTGTAACCTAATTTTATTGTATTATTAATATGATCACTGACCAACTGTATAATCTCAGTCTCGTTGATAACCTCGCCCTCCCT